AATTGGAGCTGGAAATATTCATGCAACGAAACAAAATAGACATCATGATGGTAATTGAAACCCGCATCTCTCCAACAAGAACACTTCAGGTGAATGGATACTACACATACACTTCCTCGCATCCGCATAGTCACAGAAGTGGTGGAGTTGCAACATTAATAAAACACGGGATCAAGCATTCAGCTCTTCAGCCAATAGCAGCATCGTTCCTGCAATGTGCTCCAATTACCGTGACCACTGAAGAAAACAACAGAATAAACACGGTCATTATTGCGCCAATATATTGCCCTCCACAACATACCTGGTCTACAAATCACTTTAAGATGCTATTCAAACACTTCGACAGTCTCATCAAAGGTTCCAGTTTCATCCTTTGCGGCGACTGGAACGCAAAGCATCAGTGGTGGGGCAATACTCGTTCCTGTCGCCGTGGTAGAGCCATAATGGAGTGTATTCATAAATACAATCGCTACAATGTGCTTGCAACAGGAGGTGCAACGCACTTTCCTTACGACAAGAAGAAGAAACCGTCCGCCATTGATTTCGCCGTCTACGGTGGACTGAGTAAAGGATTACTCGTTACTCACTCCACAATCGATTTAGATTCCGACCACCTCCCAATCCACGTTGAACTTGGAGTCAGAGGTCCAATAACTAAAACGCAGTCTTCAAGACGTCGACTTCTGCCAAAAAAAGTAAATCTTAGAAAATTCCAAGAAGATTTAAACCAGCGAGTTCTGCTAAATACAGAAATCAAATCAGGCATCGACATCGAAGATGCGATCGATATACTCACCAATAATATCTACAACGCTGCCAAAGCTGCTACACCTTTACCTCGTCGTCCACACCAACAAGAACACCGGCATCGTCATATAAACTCTGGCAACTATGCTCTAAATAGCCAAACAAAAAAACTAATTCGGCTTAAGCACAAATGCAAGCGCGAATTTATGATCCTGAGAACACCGTGCTTGAAAAAACGATACAATAACGTCCAGAATCGTTTAAAGAAGGCTCTGCGCCTAGCCAACTCTGAGCACATAAACAAAATGTTCGATAAAATTGATGCGAACGATCGCTACAAAATGCAGAAGTTGTGGAAAATTACTAAAAACTTTAAACGGCAACCAGAGCCCAACTGGCCGCTCAAAACAAGCCCGGATAGCAACAGCAGCAGCAATAATTGGACAAGGAGCAGCAATGAAAAAGCTGAGGTCTTTGCATCACATCTGGAACAACGATTCAAGCCAATTCTTAGCAACACGGATGAAATGCGAAAAAATATAGCACATGAGTTGGCACAGCAGCAGCAACTAAAATTACAGCAGGAAAGCGGCGCAGCTAGTATTGTTAGTGGTACTAAATCTAACACATTACCATTCCGACCAGTAACCGTAAGCGAGACTATGCTGGTTATAAGCTCTCTAACGTTGAATAAATCACCTGGCCTCGACAACATAGATAACCAGACCATTAAATCGTTGCCACAGAAAGCAATTACTTACCTGGTACTTATTTATAACTGCATCTTCAGACTTGGGCATTTTCCTAAGCAGTGGAAGTGTGCTGCTATCACGATGATCTTGAAGCCTGGCAAAAGCACGGACAGCGTAACATCCTATCGTCCAATAAGCCTTCTGGCGGGTTTCTCGAAGATATTCGAAAGGCTCCTCATGCGCAGACTTTTCGAATGTGATGACTTCGCCAAAGCTGTACCCACCCACCAATTCGGTTTCAGGAAAGAACATGGCACAGAGCAGCAACTTGCTAGAGTAACCCAGTTTATTCTAGACGCGTATGAGAACCGCATGTTCTGCTCTGCAGTATTCATTGACATTAGCGAGGCCTTTGACAGAGTCTGGCATACTGGCCTCCTATGGAAGCTAATCAAGCTGATGCCAATCAAGTTATTCAATGTACTGCAAAGTTATCTCGAAAATCGAACATTCATCGTATGCTGCAATGATGGGACCAAGTCAAAGCTTGGTAAACTTGGTGCCGGAGTACCACAGGGTAGTGTTCTCGGCCCCATCTTGTACACCATATACTCGTCTGATATGCCACTCCCAGCGGATGCACAATACTTTTTCCACAGACACAACGACGACAGTATGCTTCTATCTACTTACGCGGATGACACCATTATAATGAGCAAGGCCGCCACAGCCCAAAGTGCAATCAATATTAACCAAGCGTACCTAAACTGCTTCAATAACTGGGCCAATCGCTGGTGTATAAGCATTAATACCAATAAAACGGCACACGTCATCTATACTGCAAATAGAATTGATCAAATGCATACTTTGCGTCCACCACGTTTGAACGAACAGTCAATTGTTACCAAAACATGCCACCAATATTTGGGATTCCACATGGATCGGAAGCTAAATTGCACAATCCACATCACACAACTTTGTAATCGTCTGCGAGCCACATATAAAAACCTGGAGTGGATGCTTGGATGGGATAGCAAGCTGTCAAACACCTGTAAAGCAGTCATTTATAAACAGCTCATAGTACCAATATGGCAATATGCCTTACCTATTTATGGAGCTTTGGCATCAAATGCGCAGCTAAAACGCCTTGAGGTACTACAGAACATCACTTTACGTAGGATCATGAGAGCCCCCTGGTTTACCAGAAACTAAGCAATCAGAGACACCTATAATATAAAGACAATTGAGGAAACATTTCAGCTTGCTAGTGGCAGGTTTGCCGCCTCACTCAGTATCCATCCGAATGTGGAAGCACGCAAATTAATTCTCCATCCACACGTGCCGCAACGTCTGCAACGGCCGAGATACAAGCAGCAATTAAACCAGCATGTTCTACCACTCCAAAAACGGCTACAGCAGAAACCGCAACAACAACAGCAGACACAGCACGACGGCTTGCCAACGTTGCTGAGGTTGGAGAAAGAGAAGCAGGATGCCTTGCGACTTGCAGACACTTCGCTCACCCGGCAACACCAGCAGTCAAAACCACCAAAGCGGTTCGGTGAATCATTGATAAACTCATTGAGGCGTAGCTACAGGGATGGAGAGATGACGCTAGAGCAGGTCCAGGACATGATCAAAGACCAGCCTTTAGTAATTCAACGTCTAATTCTGCCAGCGCCACCTCCGACTGAGCAACAGAACGAGCCACAACAACAATTGCTCATTGACGATGAAGAGCAGCTTGCCACACGACTAAAGCTCCTCCAGCTGCACATGGAACGCGAACTCGACGAGGCGCCTAATGAAGATACAACAGCGCAACATCACCAATTGTCGGGGTCGACTGAATCACATGCGGATTCAATCCAGCACGAACTCTTCAGGCCACAGCAGATAAGGCAGCAATATACACTAGCAGGCGAGCAAACGCAGCACGAAGTTTGTCAGCAGAAGCGAGCCTTTGAGCTGACCATAGCCATGTTCGGCATGCCTCCAATCTGGCCCCATCAGCCATGGCAACAGCAACAACATAGCCTGCCAATTACTTTTCCTCTGCCAGGACACAAACGACAATGGCAGAAGGGGAACACTGAGCAACAGCATCAGAGCCGGGCTGATAGCCCACCCACAAAAACACAACGAGTTAATTCTGTAAATGAAGGCCAAATATACGGATTATTGACTGAGCCAAGTACAGAATGCACAAAGTCACCTGCAAATCCAATTCGATCGGCCCTGCCACGACATCAACAACAAAGGCAGCACGTAATTATCGAGCGAACAGCTGAGCAGCAGCAGCAGACCCGGGCGGATGGCCCATCATCAGCGTCACAGCGAGTTATTTCTGCAAATGAACACCAAACATATGCACTATTTACCGAGTCAAATACAGAATGCATACATCTACCTGCACAACCATTTCGATCTCTTCCGCCATGGCATCAACGACAAAGGCAGCAAGAGATCATAGAACAGCAACAACTAGTTTCAGCAGAACAGCTCCTCCAGCCATGGCAACAGCAACCACAAAGCCAGCCAGCAAGTTTCTCCCAGTCGGGACAACAGCGACAAGAGCAGCCGGGGAACACTGAGCAGCAGCAGCAGAGCCGGGCTGAAGCTACATCAACAACAACGCGGCCAGCTAATTCTGAAAATGGAAAACAAACTTATGTATTGACTGAGCCAAGTACAGAATGCACAAAGTCACCTGCAAATCCAATTCGATCGGCCCTGCCACGACATCAACAACAATGGCAGCACTTAATTATCGAGCGATCAGCTGAGCAGCAGCAGCAGATCCGGGCGGATGGCCCATCATCAACGTCACAGCGAGTTATTTCTGCAAATGAATATAAAAAATATGCATTATTTACCGAGCCAAGCATAGAATGCATACACTTACCTGTACAATCAATTCAATCTCTTCCGCCATGGCATCTACGACAAAGGCAGCAAGATACCATAGAACAGCAACAACTAGCTTCAGCAGAGCAGCTCCTCCAGCCATGGCAACACCAACAACTAAGCCAACCAGTAAGTTTCTCTCAGTTGGGACAACAACGACAAGAGCAGCCGGGGAACACTGAGCAGCAGCAGCAGAGCCGGGCTGAAGCTACATCAACAACAACGCGGACAGCTAATTCTGAAAATGGAAAACAAATTGATGTATTGACTGAGCCAAGTATAGAATGCTCACAGTTAGCTACAAATCCAATTCGATCGCCCCTGCCACGACGTCAACAACGAAGGCAGCAAGTGATCATCGAGCGAACAACTGAGCAGCAGCAAATTCGGTCTGAAACCAACATGACACAGAAGTGGCCAGATCAGCACTGGGATACCGAGCGAGAAACTCTACAGCAATTGCCTGTTACTCAGCTTAAAAAATCTGGAAACAAATTCATAAAACAGGCTTCATTATCGGTGCCTAATAGTAAATGCACTCACTTACCTGAACAGACAATTCGATTTCCATTTCCACGGCAACGAGTTGGTCAACTTGGGATTTTAGACCAGCAGCAAATCCAGCCCTCAGCTAAACGACGGAGGCAACTTGAACCTGCAGAGCCGCCTTCGACTCACCTAGACCAATTGGCAAAAAAACGTAAGATGAGTGCAAACGAAAATCGACGACCAAGTTGCTCCTTCCTACCAGGACAACAAAGACAAGGGCAGCCGGAGAATATTAAACAGCAGCAGAGCCGGGCGGAAGCCTCATCAACAACAGCGCAGCGAGCTAATTCTGAAAATGGAAAACAAACATATGTATTGACCAAGCCAAGTATAGAATGCACATATTTACCTGCGCTACCAATTCAATCGCCTTTGCCACGGCATCAACGGCAAAAGCTGCAAGAGCAGCTCCTCCAGCCATGGCAACAGCAACATCAAAGCCAGCCAATGAGTTTCCCTCAGCCAGGACAACAACGACAAGAGCACCCGGGGAACACTGAGCAGCAGCAGCAGATCCGGGCGGATGGCCCACCATCAACGTCACAGCGAGTTATTTCTGCAAACGAATATCAAACATATGCATTACTTACCGAGCCAAGTAGAGAGTGCATACACTTACCTGTTCAATCTCTTCCGCCATGGCACCAACGACAAAGGCAGCAAGATATCATTAAACAGCAGCAATTGGCAGAGGGGCTCCTCCATTTATGCCAACAGCAACAACAAAGCCAGCGAATGAGTTTCTCTCTGCCAAGACACAAACGACAAAGGCAGCCGAGGAACACTGAGCAACAGCAACAGAGCCAGGCAGAAGGCCCACCAGCAAAAATGCAGCTAGTTAATTCTGTAAAGGAAGATCAAATACACGAATTATTAAATGAGCCAAGTATAAAATGCACACTGTTACCTGCAAATCCAATTCGGTCGCCCCTGCCACGACGTCAAAAACAAAGGCAGCAAGTGATTACTAAGCGAACAACTGTACGAAGTTTTGCACAGTTGCGGAGTATGGAGCGGCAGCAGCAGAGCCAGGCAGAAGCCTCATCAACAACGAAACAGCGAATCATCCCTGCAAGGAAAGATCAAATACACAAATTAATGAAAGAGCCAAGTGTGGAATGCATACATTTACCTGCACAACCAATTAAATCTCTTCCGCCACGCTATCAACGACAAAGGCAGCAAGAGATCATTGAACAGCAGCAACTAGTTTCAGCAGAGCAGCTCCGCAAACCACGACAAAAACAACAACAAAGTCTGCCAATGAGTTTCCCTCAGCCAGGGCAACAACGACAAGGGCAGCCGGGGATCATTCAGCAGCAGCCATCAATATCTGCAAATGGAGATAATACACATCTACCACTGACTGAGACAAGTGTGAAGTTCACATACTCACCTGCACAACCAACCCGATCACCTCCGCCACGGCATCACCGGCATAGGCAGCAAGGGTTCAGTGAGCACACTAAGCTACAACAACAAACTCCGACAGGCACCAAGCGCAAGCGATCCCCTCAGTTAGCACAGCAGCAACAACACAGGCATCTTCCAACCACAGACCAGGAGCAGCTCCAAATTGGGCCGCATTCCTTGCAAAGTCCACTACGGCACGCGACATGTGGCCAACGGCAACGGACGCCGCAGCAGTATCCAGTTAGCGAGTGGCGACCCGGACATAACTGGAGGCAACTCGCACATCGAAAGGCACGCCCGCTTGCGAATTCACCAGAGTCCCCTGGAAAGATAAGAATAATTAATTAATTAGTAACTGGTGTTAAAAAAAAAAAAAAAAAAAAAAAAAAAAAAAAAAAAAACAATGTATCATGTGTAACTTATTTGTAAGAAAATATTGCCAGACTGCAATACACTGCAGTCGATCACTTCCGATGCATGCGATGAATTCTCGTTCATCGCATGCGGAGTTGCCACTTTGTTTTAAGTATCGATATGTACGCTAATTATATTTGAATAAGTTGCTCGATAGTAACGCACAAATAAAATAGGTAAGCTGCCGATTGTCTCATTCGACAGCAAGCCCTCATCGTGTACAATAGTGCACAGCAACCTGAAAAAAAAGGAAGATCAAATACACGAATTATTAAATGAGCCAAGTATAAAATGCACACTGTTACCTGCAAATCCAATTCGGTCGCCCCTGCCACGACGTCAAAAACAAAGGCAGCAAGTGATTACTAAGCGAACAACTGTACGAAGTTTTGCACAGTTGCGGAGTATGGAGCGGCAGCAGCAGAGCCAGGCAGAAGCCTCATCAACAACGAAACAGCGAATCATCCCTGCAAGGAAAGATCAAATACACAAATTAATGAAAGAGCCAAGTGTGGAATGCATACATTTACCTGCACAACCAATTAAATCTCTTCCGCCACGCTATCAACGACAAAGGCAGCAAGAGATCATTGAACAGCAGCAACTAGTTTCAGCAGAGCAGCTCCGCAAACCACGACAAAAACAACAACAAAGTCTGCCAATGAGTTTCCCTCAGCCAGGGCAACAACGACAAGGGCAGCCGGGGATCATTCAGCAGCAGCCATCAATATCTGCAAATGGAGATAATACACATCTACCACTGACTGAGACAAGTGTGAAGTTCACATACTCACCTGCACAACCAACCCGATCACCTCCGCCACGGCATCACCGGCATAGGCAGCAAGGGTTCAGTGAGCACACTAAGCTACAACAACAAACTCCGACAGGCACCAAGCGCAAGCGATCCCCTCAGTTAGCACAGCAGCAACAACACAGGCATCTTCCAACCACAGACCAGGAGCAGCTCCAAATTGGGCCGCATTCCTTGCAAAGTCCACTACGGCACGCGACATGTGGCCAACGGCAACGGACGCCGCAGCAGTATCCAGTTAGCGAGTGGCGACCCGGACATAACTGGAGGCAACTCGCACATCGAAAGGCACGCCCGCTTGCGAATTCACCAGAGTCCCCTGGAAAGATAAGAATAATTAATTAATTAGTAACTGGTGTTAAAAAAAAAAAAAAAAAAAAAAAAAAAAAAAAAAACAATGTATCATGTGTAACTTATTTGTAAGAAAATATTGCCAGACTGCAATACACTGCAGTCGATCACTTCCGATGCATGCGATGAATTCTCGTTCATCGCATGCGGAGTTGCCACTTTGTTTTAAGTATCGATATGTACGCTAATTATATTTGAATAAGTTGCTCGATAGTAACGCACAAATAAAATAGGTAAGCTGCCGATTGTCTCATTCGACAGCAAGCCCTCATCGTGTACAATAGTGCACAGCAACCTGAAAAAAATGCACACTTGGAGAAGCTTGCAGATGCCAATTCTTTCCCCAAGAATTTTGGATCAACGGCTCACCACAGAAGAAAGGATTTCATACCTGGGAGTGCAAGTCGATAAAAAGCTTCTTTTGAGCAGCCACGTCACCACCATTGTCGCCAGGGTTAGAGACAGGGCCAAAAAGCTGCACTGGCTAATATCAGAAAGGAGCAAGCTACCATTAAAATGCAAAGTATCACTCTACAAGCAGCTCATAGCCCCAATATGGCAGTTCGCACTTCCGGTCTGGGGATCACTTCTATGCGAAGGCCAATTTGAACGGATTCAAGTTGCGCAAAACAAGATATTGCGAACCATTGCTGGAGCACCTTGGTACGTGCGAAACCAAAGCATCCACACTGATCTGAAGGTCGTGCCGGTGGAAAAAATGTATCAGGATGCTTGCTCCAGGTACTGGGCTCGGCTCAGCAACCACAGCAACGATGAAGCCAAAAATATTGCCCTTAAAGCAAGACTCCCACAACGTCACCTAGGTGTCAGAAGAAGATACGCTGAAATGCTTCGGAAGCACCTACCTCTGGGTCGCCTAGCACAGCAGCAGCGGTCACAGCAGGGCCAGCTACCTTCTCATGGGCAGCCACGTCCGCTCCCACGACCACCCAGTCTCAGAGACTACCTTGTATTTGACATACAAGAACTGCTAAGTCAAACAGTGGTGCAGCCCAACTACCTCCAGGATAGACGAAACAGCCCGTCTCATATACAGCTGTGCTCAACTCTCGCTACCACTACAAGGCCAGGAGCTCTCATTCCTCCCAGTCCAGAGACACCAAGCTCGCATCCAAATCCACAGACGCAGCGGGACGTGGCCACCAGTGCGGATCAAGAAGCAGTGTGCAACACCATGTGCACACTTGCTACACTGTTCATGATGGCAGCCAACCTCTATGTACTTGTACCACAGCGAGGGCCTAAGACTAGGACTACTTGCAGGACACGGCAACTCATCCAATTGCGACTGGCTGAAAGGCAGATAAAGCAAAGATTGCGTTACGCTAACGAACCAATCAGATGGCTTCATACAACTCGTTGCCAAAGGGTTGCCTACTTACAGAAATTCAGACTGCGACATCCCATACAATGGAAAAAGGCCTTGATGCTACGTCTCTCAAGCACCCACACCAATGGCATCTGGCGGCAGGATCAACGGTGGTCACGCTGGCGGCTCCAGCTCATCCAGATGCAACGGCTATCAGACTGGGTAGCTTCCAGACAATTGGGGATTTTCCCAATCCTCAAATAATTAATTTGACAGCAATCCCCATGCCAAGGCTGGGAAACTTCACTTGAATTGTATATAACATGTCACTTAATTCATTGTAAGTACTCTAGGTATTAAATGAATAAAAAAAAAAAACAGTCTGGATCCCAGTCCCCACTTCTCTGTCTGTCAACCAGGCATGGAGCTGGGCTCTGGAATCCAGACCGACATTGCGTTTGTTCCCTTGTGTCGAACGGTAAACAAAGGTGCTGCAAACGCTCAGGCCGTCGCGAGTGGAACAGATGCCTCTGTGTCGGCTAGATCTAGCAAGACATCGTCACTTAGAGAAAACTATCTAAAAGCACGACAAGAGGAGACTTGTCAAAAAGTGCAGCGAAAACGTCGTGTCACTGGTGGTGAAAGCCCTAGGACACAGAAGAAAAAAGCCAATGAAGATGAAAATGTTGAAACTGTGTCCTTGGAAGATGAAGATGTGGACGTTGAAGCAATGGACGTTACCCCTCAGCCGATTATAAACCCAAATCCTGAAACAGATGCTGAGGACATCGCTACTATCAATATGAATGCCAGGCCTGAGGGACCACAACATATACCCCCACTTATGCCTACCAATAACTCTAACGCAGAACCCAATGTTCCAGACGTTGCCAGCAATGTTAAGATCAGGCCTGAACCGCTCTACGTGCCTGGACTTAACGGTAATATTGTCCCATTCCTAAAGGACATTGATGACTTAATTGGAGAGGGTAACTACCACACCAAACCGACTTCGGATCGCGGACTTCGTATTCAGTGCAACGACATTAGCTCATACCGCGCACTAGTAAGATTCTTTGAAGAATGTAGTGTTGAGTCCCATACTTACCAACTGAGCAGTGACCGTGGCTTCAGAGTAGTAATTAGACACCTTCACCGAGCTACTCCTAATGACTGGATCAAGCAGAAGCTTAGTGACAAGGGACACAACGTTCGATTTGTAAATGTTATCAAGAAGCGTTTCTCTGGCGAGCCTCTTGATCTCTTTCAAGTTGAGCTTGAGCCTAAAAAGAACAATAACGAAATTTTCGACTTAACAGTCCTGGGAGGCCAGCGAGTCAAAGTCGAAAAGCCAATAAGAAATACGGATGTTGTGCAGTGCCACCGTTGCCAACAGATTGGACACACAAAAAATTACTGTCGCCGCATATTTAGATGCGTAAAGTGCGGACAAGAGCACCCATCAACACTCTGTGAAAAGGCGCCTAGTGCAGAAGCGAAATGTGCTAATTGTAAGGGCCCACATGCTGCTAGTTACAGGGGCTGCATCTTCTTCAAAAACAATGCTAAAAAGAGGGAACCTGCCGTTCTACAAAGAGCCAATAGATTGCTATTTCAGCTTGGAGAACCCACCATTCCAATTAGCTCTGGTAGGCAACAGGGACGACCAAAGCAGCAACCGCTTCGGCCTCCAGTTGTTCAGGGCCAGCAGGCACAACAGCAGCAACCACAGCGGCCCTCTGAGCAGCAGAAGCAGCCGCAGCACAACCCATTCCGTCAGCAAGTGCAACACCAGCAGCCAATGCCTCAAGCTGCAAGCAGCTATGCAGCCGCCCTTAAAACTGGCCTGCCAGATGAGCGCTCCCGAAAGCAGAAGCAGACCGCACAGCGCCAAACAACTCGACAGCAGCCTCAACATGATTCGAGATTGCAGCACAACAATCAGCCGCCTCAGCGCCACCAGCATTATCAGGAGCGAGAAACTCGGCAAGTGATAGCACATCCTGCAGAAGCGCGCCAGCAACACAGGAGCCGCAGCCGCAGCTCACCGCGAACTGCATACCCGCGAGATGACCTCAGCCGAAAACTTGATCAGCTGATCAACATAATGGTTGAACAACAAAGGAGCGCAATTGCCCCTGCCAATAACAGCAACCTGGAAAGTAAAATTGACAGATTAGTTGATCTAATGACGAGTATGATGGCTACCGTAAGCACTCTCATGTCTACCATGGAGCGCGTCAATGGTAACCAAAATGTCTAGCCACGACGCCAACTCCATCACTTCCTCCTCAGAGAGAAATGGGCATAACATATATGCCAGACTCAACACCAACGCCCTTAAAATTGTAGCCTGGAATGCAGCAGGACTACACAATAAACTGGAAGAGATGGAGTTATTTATGCTGCAAAACGAAATCGACATAATGTTAATAGCTGAAAGCTACCTACGGGATGCAGAAACTATTGATATAAGGGGATACCACACTTACCTGGCAAACCACCCATCTAACAACCGCCGTGGAGGTGCAGCCATCCTAGTAAAGCGCACAATCCAACACATAGCGCTCATGCCGACAACCCTGGAGAAAATTCAGTGTGCGCCAGTTGCAATTACACTGCTAAATGGCTCAGTCATTAATGTTGCGGCCATATACTGCCCCCCGCGGGAACATTGGCTGGTTCAAGACTTCAACTACGTATTTAGACAGCTTGGTGCTAAATTTATTGCTGCTGGTGACTGGAATGCCAGAAGTTATTGGTGGGGCAACAGCAGATCAAATCGCAGGGGTAATATACTCCTTGAAAGTGTGCAGCAGCAAAACCTTGACATTCTGGCAACTGGCTCGTCAACGCGCTTTCCAAATAATGCGCGGCAGTCCCCGACAGCCATTGACTTCGCAGTATATAAAGGTGTGCAGTATGGTCTGCTAAAAATAAGCACATCCAATGACTTAGGATCGGATCACCTGCCGCTGCTGATTGAACTACTGAGTAAGCCAGCAGAAGGCGAACCCAAGTGTCATCTTCTTCCAGCAAATGCGAGCATACCCAAATTTCAATTGTGGCTAAACATGCACATCAATTTGAACACTGAGCTTCACTGTGGCGAAGATATTGACGATGCGGTAGACATACTGGAAAATAATATCCACTCTGCAGCGAAATTTGCAACAAACCTAACTCACCAGCCTTACCGAGGGCAACCAAAATATAACTACACAATCAACAGGCGCATTCAACAAATGATTGAGGCCAAGAGGCTGATTAAACGCCACATACAGGCATACCACAACCCGGCTGCTAGGCAAGCACACAACAGATTAGCCAACAACATTAGCCGGGAAATCAAGCATGCCAAGGCGAGAAGACTTGATGAGTTGCTGGAATCTATCGATGCAAGGGATAGATACAGTATGCAAAAGTTATGGCGGCTAACGGGGAACATCAAAAGGCAGCC